CGTACAGCAAACCCTGTACCAGGCTTCACTCTAACAGAAAATAACTATCACCTGTCTTGAGAGACCATTAATGATCATACATTCTGACCTGTGGTGAATACTTGTTTGTCTAGCACAGCTTTTCGTGCACTCTAGATTGGTCACTGGAGACTGATTTACCCCCCATAAAGAAGTACTCAATAATTCTGGGTGGAAGATGGAGGTCTATGTAACCAGTTAAGCATAATAAAGGGCAAATCTATATCGGCTTCTTAGTGCAATTAGCCGTGCAAAATACAGTGATTGCAAGGTTTCGTCGCAGCATAATGCATTTCATATTCTATCGATGGATGTACTAGTACCGGCACGGTGCCGGTTGCAAAACCACCTACCCTCCATCTGGTGACCGTGTACCACTTGGCCATCTGGTTTGTCAAAGTCACGGTGCTCAGAACATCAGCGGCAAAGCCAGGCACGGTGCCATCTGCGAGGTCACAAGCACACATGCGTGGCACAAAAGCAATACATAGTACAATGAGTAGAAATCAATACGCCCGCAATTCAAACTACAGCGGGCTATATTCACGCAGGCGCACAGGCAGATTGGTTCTAGGAAACTCGCACAGTTTATTGATTCTCATTCTTCCTAGACACATGCGATCACTGCCACCACATGCACCAACAGTAAAGCAAAGCAAAGCAGCAGTGAAAGTCCAGAACCAATGCACACCTGCAACCTCATCCTACGCAGCCATTTCAGGCGACGAAATATGCCTTTGGAACAGTTACTAGTCAACTGGTAATGGTCGTTGGCGCAATGCTGGGCATACTGAGGACATCATGCACTGTAGCTGCATAGAAAGTCGACAAATAGCTCTATAATGTTACATTGCATCCTAGATTTCAGCGTGAAAACATTTCCGGTTCATCCAGCCCAACACGAGTGGTTTGGGGGAAAAACGATCACCGCCGCGGGCAATTCACCTACCGTGTCCGTAAACGACAACGGCAGCGGTGAACGAGTTCACTGTGCGGCCATTAGCTGTAGCTCTGCATTGGTAGTTTCCTGCACCGGAATTGCTGGCCGTGACGCTGAAGGTTTCAGAAGTCTGGCCAGGTACGAGCTGTGGAAAGCAAACGAATCAAGGAAGGGTTTTTGACCAGAGACTTATACACACCACTGTTCTTGATGGATCATTAAGAGCTAGTGGTAAGGAAAGTAGGGATGCTGCTAATCCACATCAAAAACAAATCTGTGCACTCGACTCTCCATTATGACTTATCCTTGGGATAACCATCACCGAAAAGGCTGGACTTTTTTTGGCACAACGTGAAATTTCGCATTGAAAATGTCAATTCAAATGCCATATTCTAAAGAGGGGGCGGGGGGAGGGGTGCACTTCAATCATATTCAAGTGCAATGCGTTTGGCATAAACGCTATGGTGGAAAACGTCACGTGAAACCCTCTCTAGCACTTAGCTTTTCCAATAAGATGTTCTGCTCTCAGCCACAAGGTCATGCACATAAATAACTACTACTAACCGCTCCATTGAAGTACCAAGATAAGGTAGCGGGAGGCACAGACAGGGCACGGCAGTTCAGCACCAGAGGATCACCCACAAACACTTGCGTGTCCAGAGGATGTACGGCAATGACTGGACCTCCCTTGACACACTCCGGGTTGTCGTTGGTTCCTACGAAAACAGGAACATGCATATCGTAGGACAGATCCAGAGAAAGATGTTGAAGTTATACGTTCAGTTAGAGGGAAGATTGAGTGAGTATCTGACAGAACTCTTTCACTGCTGACTATGGATTGAGTGAGTATCTGACAGAACTCTTACACTGCTGACTATGGATTGAGTGAGTATCTGACAGAACTCTTTCACTGCTGACTATGGATTGAGTGAGTATCTGACAGAACTATTTCACTACTGACTATGGATTGAGTGAGTGTCTGACAGAACTCTTACACTACTGACTATGGATTGAGTGAGTATCTGACAGAACTCTTACACTGCTGACTATGGATTGAGTGAGTATCTGACAGAACTCTTTCACTGCTGACTATGGATTGAGTGAGTATCTGACAGAACTCTTACACTGCTGACTATGGATTGAGTGAGTATCTGACAGAACTCTTACACTGCTGACTATGGATTGAGTGAGTATCTGACAGAACTCTTTCACTGCTGACTATGGATTGAGTGAGTATCTGACAGAACTCTTTCACTGCTGACTATGGATTGAGTGAGTATCTGACAGAACTCTTTCACTGCTGACTATGGATTGAGTGAGTATCTGACAGAACTCTTTCACTGCTGACTATGGATTGAGTGAGTATCTGACAGAACTCTTTCACTGCTGACTATGGATTGAGTGAGTATCTGACAGAACTCTTTCACTACTGACTATGGCACGCATGGTATCCCTTATTTAAAATGCAGAACAACACTCGGTCAAAAATCCTTTGCGCTTCGTGCTGCTCTGTTTTTTAATGCTCTACCTAATGACTTGAAATCCTCTTTGTTAACCTCTCAGTTCGATCGTGGTTTTAAGCACTTATTGGATGATCCAGTTTGGTTTGAACGATATCGTGCAATTTTGTTTGACAACGTTGACAACGTTGGCAACACTTAGTCTCTCACCAGCTACATGTATATATTGCCCAGGTTCATTCAGCATACGTTTTTCTTCTTTTCTCTTTATGTTCACCACTCATCCCCTTTTTTTCTAAACATTTACACTGATGTATATACATTGGTTTTTGTTTATTTTTTTATTTTTTTGTGTATTTATTTATTTATTTTATTTTTTGGTCCCATCGCCCTCTTCATTTTGTGTATGCAACTGTGGTCTTCTCTCCATGGGTCAAACACGGGCGTACTGCCTTCATTACATCATGCAGTTACAAGCAGATAAAGTGGAAAATCATGCACCACATTTTCCTTGTGGCTAGAAACCTACTCGCCTACGTACATAAGCCCACAATCTGGACATCACATCTGTGCTTGAACGAATCAAGAAAACCGGGTGTGCTTGAACGAGATTGTGGGATTGACCAGGAGTACAGGCGTGCTGCAGGCAAGGTATGCAATGAATACAGCATGCCGTGCATCACGATGGACTTGCAGCTGCATAGTGTTGGTTGCGGACTCTTGATGAAAGTCATTTTAAAGACGGTTGCAACACATGCACGAGCTTGAACAGGACAGCACTGCATTCTTCACTTTTCCTTCTCTGTACAATGTAGATCACGTGCTAACCAGCCACTTCCTGTATCGCGTCCTATTTGAACAACTGCCGTACCCCCATTCCTTCAACAGTCTCAATGTCTGGTGCCAACCCCAGGTACACGCCAAACCTGGTCGAAACTGAGATTTTGATTCAAACTCACCGAGGTAAATGACGGAGAAAGTACTGTCACCGTTGATCATGAAGTCGTTGTCACTGCTGGCCACGATGGCAATGCTGATGTAGGTGAAAGCGGGCAGGTAGAGGACACCGGACATGGACAGCGTGTTGGGCTGTCCGCCGGACACCTGGTTGCCCATGAGCGAGGTGATGCGAGAGCGACCAGACAGGTTGTTGTTGATGAGAATCTTGGAGTAGATGTAGCCGCTGTCCACGTTGTCCAGACGAATGTTGGCACTGACGTAGTACTTTCCTGGGGGAGAACACGGCATGAACGTGGAATACCGCATGAACGTGGAATACCGCATGAACGTGGAATACAAACACAACAGCGATGGCTGTACCCAGCATAGTGTTCATGAATTACAAGCTGTTGTCAGCAGTGAGGGCTGCATCCAACAGTGTCCACAATTACTTGTTGTTAGCAGCTTGACCGGATTTCTGATATGTAAGTTCAGGCTTCAAGCCTCTGGACCATTAAATAATCCATGATAAATGTTCAGCCATGCTGAACATGGATACCCAGGATGTGGTTTGATCGCAATGAGTTGAAGGGCAACACCAGCTTGCCTATATTAGCAACTACTGTCTTATTCACCAATTTTATTCACCAATGACACACTGATGAGTAGACGGCTTACCAGCATTTGGAGTTGTGTACCGGCCGCCATACGGCTGGAAGTACTCGTCACCGAAGAAGCCCGGTGCACTAACGTCCCAGTAGCCAAGTTGGAGCCAGCGTCCTCCGAGGTTTGTGACACGCCTGGAGTATGCACCCTTTGAGGTCATGCCCGAAACCTGAACGTGAACAGAAATGCGCCGGAAATGGAAATCACAATAGTGGTCAGTTATCAACTCACAATGGCCACGGTGCCAGTGGGAATAGGCAATGCCCTCACCCCTCCTGTGTACAACGTGTACCAATAGATTGCTCTGGGAGTGGTATTTTTCTACTCTACTAGTCTCCCACATCCACCGACATTAGGTACCAAATGGCACAGAAATCATGCCACACACAAAAATAACACACAGGCCCAGTGGGGAAACCCCCCCCTCCTTCAACGCTGCTGTGACCACTCATAGCTGTGCTTGCAATGCTGAGAACTGACCTGACCCGCTGCGCCGATATAAACAGCACTCCAGCCAGACTCGTGCTGAAAGTTCCAGCTTGTATCAGCCGTACTCTGCGTAACTGGCGCAATCTTGGCACCCTTTGCCAATTGCAGAGCGCCAAAGATGTTGGTTGTCTATAACAGAAGCAGAAGGCAGCCACCAAGTACAATAAAAGCCAACAATCAGATCCACATTCGTTATAGCACATCAACTTTCTGCTGGGATGACGACTACACCATAGCTCAGTGGTTAGAGCATCACTGGCCTCAAGCGAAGGTCCCTGGTTCGAGTCATGGTGGTGACAGTCATTTTTCCTTCAGACCTTTTCCCGTTTGTGTCCTTCCCTCCAACCAGTGAATATCAACAATATCATAACTATAGTAAAGGAAGGTACCGCTCGGTTTTTTTGATAACCTGTCTAGATACGTAACTGCAGTGCTCCTCAGTGTGGAGAACTGGCCTTGTCAGTTACTAACGGTAACAAGTGCACTGTGCAGCCCTTCAGTCAATTCACATATTCCAGGCATTGCAGTAGTATCATTCAAAGCATTGTCCATTCATCGACATGAGCTACGCCAAACTTGTATGGGCACGTTCTGCTCACATGGTAGGAGGCGTGGAGGCTGCCAGACTTGACAGCCGAGAGTGTTGGCTGTGTGGTGCTCAGCGAGCCGTTGATCGAGATCATAGTGCGGAAATAGCCAGTGCCGGCATTGTCCAGGCGCAAGCTGCACGAGACCAAGTACACTCCGGCATACGGTGCAGTGAAAGTACCTGGGGTGACATGTGCAAACACAAACACGTCTTATTAAACCTTTCCACCGCCAGAGGTGATCATAGCG